GAAGGTTTCTATTCTATTGTATTTCTGGGAGACCGTGTCACATTTGCCTCCCTCGTTGTGTGTACTTGTGATGTTACTGCAGTGAGGGGGTTTGACTTCAGGTCAGAGTATACCATGACAAATAACCTCTTACAGTGAAAACACCTCCTGGTCTTTGCATGAATTTGTAGCGGACAGACCAGAGCAGGGACGTTTGGACCTTCTGTCCCCAGCCCGTAGTGTGCATCAATGTCATAGACATCCCCAGGCTTCTTGAACGGGGCACTACCAGATGCTGAGGCCTCTGGTTCCCACCAGGGGCATTCTTCTCCCTCCAGTGTCTCACTGTGCTGGTAGGAAATAGCTTTAAGTTACAGCGAGGCGTCTGGCAGACATGAGCATCACTGCTGGTGTCACGTTAAGGACACAAAACGAAGGAAATTGATCACGTGGACATTCATGCAAAATTCATTCATTTTTTTTATTCTTACACCAAAGCTATGTTTTTCAATAATTTCCAAGTAAAATTTTTATTGACTTGATCATACAATGAACTGAAGATTCTAGATTATTTACCTTTTGTCCAGAGACTGACAGGAACTCAATCTTAAGAGGGAAATGTTTATCATATTCACAAAACCAATATTCTCCAGCCTTTTAAAAATCTCTTTTTGAATGATTAAAAATAATCTGAAGCCAGGAGAGAGAGAGGGATATGGGGTAGTATGAAAAATGGAGGGATTTCAACTCTGTAGCTGATGTTTTATTAAAAAAAAACAAAGTCATTAGAAAGAACTGGGTAGTGGGTACTTCAGTGTTTATTTTCTATATTTGTCTCTAAGCTTAAATGCTTTATAATAAAATCATTTAGAGGCACATTTTGCATGGCATTAGAGAATTTCAGGAAGTAATAGGACCATTAGAATTTGTTTTTGTTACAAAGTTTTAGCCTGATAACATTTAAGAAAGGCTCATTAGTTTGCGTTGCTGTATATATCTTTTTTTCTTTTTTGATAAAACACATTTTGCTTTAGATTGGTAATCAGTTTAGTTGGGCTTTTGCCTTCATTACTTTGTACCGGGCAACTCTTACTTTTCGAAGTCTGGTTAAAGAAAAACCAAACTATGCAAGATGAATGTGTTCAGAACCATTGTGAACAAATGGTTTTTATGGCAGTGGGGGCTGGCAAGATGCCCTATGAGGCTCACTCAGAAAGGTGCCACTGTTCTCAGTCTCTCTCGTCTGCTGGTGGAGGTTCTGGCCTATGATTCGAGCCAGCAGGACAGTGCGTCTGTCAGCTTCCGTCGCCAAGCACACTTGAGCAACTCTGGCCACGATCATCGGGAGACAGGAACTTGGTTGTGGGCACCAGGCCAGGGAGGGGAATGCCAGCAATGGTATGATCCACAGAACACTGGCTCCCAAAGATTCTCATCCCCAGACCCTCCTTGCAAGTATATTACCTTACATGGCAGAAGGGACTTTGCAGGTGTGATTAGGTTAGTGTCTTGAGACGGGAGACAACACTGGATAAAATCACAAGGATACTGAAAAGAGGACAGTAGGAGGGTCAGCCGTCAGAAGGAGGCATGACCAAGGAGGCAGAGTTTGGGATCATGGGCTCCTGAGTCAAGGCAGGTGAGCAGGCTCCAGACTAGGAAAAGGAAGGAACTATCTCCCTGAGAGCTTCCAGACGGCACAAAGCCCTATCAGCCCCTTGATTTTAGCTCAGTGCAAGTGGTTTTGACCTGCTGACCTCTGCAAGCATACGATGATGAATCTGCGTCGTTGTCACTAAGTTCTGGCTAATTTCTTACCACAGCCATTGGAAACTAATACAAACAGGCTTGTACTTGAGAAAGGCTGAGCAAGGGCTTGGCAGAGGAGTGAGACTTCTTCCCCAGCCGAGGTGACCGTGCTCACAGCGCCAGCTTTGAGTCAGACTGCTTGAGTAAAACTCCTGGCACCACCCTTTATTGGCAGTCCTCTTGGATAAGTGGCCTCTGCCTGCCTTTGTTCTCTCATCTGTAAAATGGGAACACTAACAGAACTTGCTTCAGAGGTTTGTAATGAGGTGAACTGGCATAATCCACACAGAGTGCTTACAGAGAACCTGGCGCAGAGCAGGGGAGCTATAAAGGGCGACTTATTATAGAAGCCCTCTGCTATGCAAAGGCCTTGCCATGTGTTTGTGGCTGTTGAATTTTATTAGCTGACTTAATAAGGCACTCTTTCTTTTGGGAACCACGTGAATTATGCATTCCTCCCTCATATAAATCTCAAAGACGTACCCACTCATTCTGGGGCCAGAGACATTGTGGCTAAATGCAGGGTTCCTGACCTGCCGGGGGTCTTTGTTTTCTTTTAATAGGGGCACACAGATAAAGAGACATGTTGTGTGTGTGTAAGAAACAGGTCTTTTTTTTTTTTTTTTTGCAGTGAAATGGGTTCATGATTATCCGTTTAGGTCTTTACTCAGGGGACTCTTATGTGTGTGTTCTTCTGCCTATCCGTCTGCTCACAGTAGGAAGATTTTCCTAAAAGTAAAGATTTTCCTAAAGTAGCAGAAAACTTCTCAGGGTAAGGAGGACTCCATGCAGTGGTTGGGGGCGGGGTACGTTTAGGGTCACTGTAGCTCTGAAATGAGGAGAATGTGGAAAGCTTCACAGATGGTGACCAGTGGTTGGCTTAGAGCACAGTGATCACTCAGTGGAAGGTGGACAGCTCACTCCAATTCTGTCTTCCTTCATTCTAGAATGCCTTCTGATAATGAAGTCATTTGCTTCCTAGTATACATGTCTCTATTTTTTTTATTTAATTTTTTTCATCATGATACATATACTCTTTAATCCCCTATTTCCCCCATCCCCCTACCCACCTCCCCTCTGGTAACCACCAGTTTGTTCTCTATAGTTAAGAGTCTGTTTCTTGGTTTTTCTCTTTTTCTCTCTTTTTCCCCCTTTTGCTTATGTGTTTCTTAAATTCCACACAGGAGTGAAATTATATAGTATTTGTCTTTCTCTGACTTATTTTGCTTAGCATTCTACTCTCTAGCTCAGTCCATGTTATTGCAAATGGCAAGATTTCATTCTTTTTATGGCTGAATAATATTCTATTGTTTGTATCTACCACATCTTCCTTATCCATTCATCAATTGATGGACACTGGGGCTGCTTCCATATTTTGGCTATTGTAAATAATGCTGCTATAAACATAGGGGAGCATTATCCCTTTGAAATAGTGTTTTTGTATTTTGGGGGTAAATGCCCACTAGTGCAATCCCTGGGTCATAGAGTAGCTCTATTTTTAATGTTTTGAAGAACCTCCATACTATTTTCCAGAGTGACTGCACCAATTTGCGTTCCCACCAACAGTGCATGAGGGTTCCCTGTTCTCCACATCTTCTCCAATAGTAGTTGTTTCTTATGGTTTTAATTTTAACTGGTGTGAGGTGGTATCACTTTGTGGTTTTGATTTGCATTTCCCTGATGATCAGTCAGGTTGAGCATCTTTTCATGTGCCTATTGGCCTTCTGTATGTCATCTTTGGAGAAATGTCTGTTCATGTCTTGCTCACATTTTTTTAAAAGATTTTTTTATTTATCTGACATAAAGAGAGAGTGAAAGAGAGCATGAGAGAGGAGAAGGTCAGAGGGAAGAAGCAGACTCCCCAAGGGCTGGGAGCCCGATGCGGGACTCGATCCCAGGACTCCGGGATCATGACCCGAGCTGAAGGCAGTCACCTAACCAACTGAGCCACCTAGGCGCCCAATTGCTCACATTTTTTAATTGGATTACTTGTTTTCTGGGTATTGAGTTGTATATGTTCGGATACTAACCCTTTATTAGATATGTCATTGGATATGTCATCTTCTCCCACTCAGTAGGTTGTCCTTTGGTTTTGTTGATTGCTTTCTTCATTGTGCAGAGACTTGTTATTTTGATGAAGTCCCAAAGCCTTTCTTTTCTTTCTTTCTTTTTTTTTTTTCTTTTTTTTTCTTTTGCTTGTATTTCCCTTGCCTTAGGACAACTGTCTAGAAAAATGTTACTACAGCTGGTGTCTAGTATCGGTGTCTCTTTAGATGGATCCTAGGATGAGCTGTCACCAAGCTTATACTGACTTTCCCTTTGTAGGTGGCATTTGAGATGGGCAGGGGTAACATTTCAGACAGAGAGGAGTGTATGCCCACAGGAAGGCAAGAAGATAGGAAAGAGCAGGGAAATTACAGACAGGCGAGGCATATGGTATATGCTGGCTAGAGATGGGGTAAGAGATGAAACTGGATTTGTCCACTGAATGAAGAGTATAAAGATTTTCAGACGTCCAACCTAGGAGCACGGACTTGACCCGAGGGCCCTTCCCTTACCAGAGTGTGCACAGGTACTATATTAAAATAGTTTCCGTCAGAGGGGAAATCAGAGCTCTGTGGTCCCAGAGTTTTGAAGATCTTGGGGGAATAGGAAAAAGGGTTTCTGTTCTTTAGGTGACCTCAGAGCCTATAACTATGTTGTGAATTTTCCAGAGGTGGAACTAGGGCGTTGGGATAAAGGAAGAGTAAGTGGGCCCAAGAGATACTCGGGATGAGGAGTAGAAAATAATTGGTGGGGTGGGGGACATGGAGGAGGTGTGGCAAGGAGAGAAGGCCAAGGAGACTACAGTTTCAAGTTTAGCATTTTAGGCACTAACTAGAGCAATAGAGAAGACGAAACTGGTTTTACAGGAGGAGAGCGGGTTTTGAATATATTGCGGACCTCTTTTATTTGTGATGCTGGCAGGTGCCGATGCCCATGGACTACAAAGCTCGTCAGAGCTGAAAAGGTCCACCCATAGGTATTGATGAGGTCCTTCAGAGACAGTGGGGTTCCGATGATGCAGATCACATTCACTTATACCAATCCATCAACGATGTTACAGTAATGGGCAGAAGGGTTGAGCCATGTCTTAGCATTTAAGCGCAGACTCTTCTATTTGGATTAGGGTCATTGTCATGTTTAAATAGAAGCTGTATCTCTCCTTGCAGAATCACTGCTTGTGCAATGACTATGAATAAGTATGTGGAAGAAAACGTATCTCAGAAGTCGTACACCACCATCAAGTATTTCATGAAGATGCTGAGCAGCGTCAGCGAGACCCTGATCTTCATCTTCATGGGCGTGTCCACCGTCGGGAAGAACCATGAGTGGAACTGGGCCTTCGTGTGCTTCACTCTTGCCTTCTGTCTGATCTGGCGAGCGCTGGGTAATGGTGCTTGTTTCCTGAAGGAACACCCGACAACACTCACTAGAAGAACGGGGCTTGCTTCTTCTCGTCCCTCCCCTCGGCTGCTGGCTACTTCATCTGCTGTTGCTGCTGCTTCCTCTCCCTCTCCCTCACCTCTCCCCCACTCCTCATGGATTCTGTTCATCCCCAAGTACCTTCATGACTTTGCTGTAAGTCACACTGACCTCTCTTGGCCTCCCTGAGTTCCCATTTTCCCCTGTTACCCTGGAACAACAAACGCTCGTGAGCAGAGGAAAAGGGGAGAGACTGTGGGGCTCGTTAGACACCTCGCCCTGTCATAGAAGCGCAGAGAATGAGTCTTCCTGGTTTCACATTCTGGCCTCACACACTCTGTTTTCTTTGGTTTTGCTTTTCGTTCTCAGGTGTCTTTGTCCTGACTCAGGTCATTAACTGGTTCCGGACGATTCCCCTGACCTTTAAGGATCAATTCATCATTGCCTACGGCGGGCTCCGAGGTGCCATCTGCTTTGCACTCGTGTTTCTCCTCCCAGCTGCTGTGTTTCCTCGGAAAAAGCTGTTCATTACAGCTGCAATCGTTGTCATATTCTTTACTGTCTTCATCCTGGTGAGTAGGCTTCTCTCTCTCGGCAGAGTCTCTCCGGTTACTGAAAGGAGACAAGATCTTTCAGGCTCTCACAACAAACTCCTTTCACAGGAGGCCAAGTGGCTAACGTGTGTCATGGCTTTGGTAGTCATGGTGTTTGGGAAAATGCTGCTTCCTGGTGTCACCTGATTATGCAAGGGCCCAAGAGAATACAATCTAGTCACTTGGCTCATATGCAGGAATTCTTATTTAAGGAAACTCAGCTTAGTGATCTAAGCTTACTAGTGGAAACTAATGAACCGAGCTTGCTAATCCTTGTCATTTGTGTCACTCCCTGACCTAGTAAATATACTCATTACATGCTACTTGTGTAATGACCTTCCAGCAGCAATTTGACATTAGTTGACGGCATAGCAGTGTGTCCCTTGAAATGGTGGGATGTGTGACTACATGCTTAGCATTGCGAGGCAGGAAGTATGGTGGGAAGAACACGGGTTTGGGTCTTTGCCTATCAGTCTCTTTAAGTGACTAAACCAGCCCTTAGGAGATTCTATTTTGCAGATACCCGTTTAGTAAATACGTATTAGGCTCCCACTATGTGCTGGACCGTGCTCTAGGAGCTTGGGATCCGTGAGTGAACAAAAGGCAGACATATCCCTGTGCTAGCAAACTTACATCCCAGAGGGGATGGCAGATACTGGATACTAGACATGTGAAGTGAGTAAATTATAGAGTATGTAAGGTGAAAGGTGCTGTGTTTCAAGAAGCAGAGTAGTGAGTGGGGGGAGTTGCACTTCTAAATAGAATTGTCATGGAAAGCAATGGAGAAAAAATGACATTTGAGTAAAAACTTGTGGGGGATAGTGAAGGAGTTAGCTAAGCCAAAGAACATTCCAGACTGATAGGACCAAAGGTATGTAGGCAATATGTTCCTGGCCAGTGTGGCTGGAGGGATGGGGATAAACACGGTGAGGGAGACTCTGGGGTCCTCATTAGGATAAGGCCACATGGGCCCATGTAGGGGCTGGCTCTTCAAGTGGAAGGGAAGCCATTGGGTTCTGTGTAGAAGCGTGATGTGTTTTGACTGACTTTTAAAAAGGATCACCTTGGACACTGAAGAACAGTCTGCTAAGAGGACAGGATAGACATGGAAAATGTAGTGCAGAGGCCAGTGTAGCCACCAAGCAAAATGGGTCCTGAGAAGGACTGAGATTCTCAAACCCATTGTGAAGGTGGAACCTACAGGATCCCCAATGGGGTAGACGTGGGTGTGAGGGAAAGAGCCATCCCGGAGGACTCCAAAGCTTCTGGTCCAAGCTGCTGGGAGGACAGACTTCCTCTCACATGAGAAGGGAAGTGTGTGGATGGAGAGGATGGGACTTGGTTCACAAGCATGGCCGGTTAGGCGTGCCGATTAGACCTACAAGCAAAGGGATGAGTGGGAGGCAAGGTACTGGGTCTGGAGTTCAGGAGGAAGTCAAGAACTGGCGTTTGAAGTGCTGAAACTGGACAGGATCGTCAAGGGAGTGAATATACATCCAAGAAGCCAGTACACAGGACCAGGAACTGGTATCTAGGGCAGCCCAAACTTAAGACACTGGGGAGAAGAGGAAGGCAGCCAGGGAGCCTGAGGGCAAGTTTTGATGACAAAGGGGGAAAACTGGGAAGTACTTTTTATTTATTTATTTTTATTTATTTTTAGGGGGTACTTTTTATTTACTTATTCTTTATTTTAAAGATTTATTTATTTTTTTGAGAGAGAGAGAGATGGGGACTGGGGGAGGGACAGAGAGGGTGGGAGAGGGACAGACTCCTCACTGAGCGTAGAACCAGATGCAGGGATCTGTGATCCTGAGATCACAGCTTGAGCCGAACAAAACCAAGAGGCAGGTGATAACTGACTGTGCCACCCAGACACCCCTTTAGGAGGTACTTTTTAAAAAAAAATTTGTTTAATAGTTCATCACAGAATGCTTTCTAGTTGCCTGACTCAGGTCTAAGCTCTTTTTATATTATCTCATTTAATCCTCATAACAACTCTATGGCACAGAACTCTAGGAGTCACTGTTATTATTCCCATATTACAGATGAGGACACTTAGGCCCTGAGCCTGTGCTTCAGTGCCTTTTCCAAGTCTACACAGTGAAACAGGAACCAGTTTGGTGTTAACTGTAAATAAATTGCATAGTAAGAGTTCAATATTGTAACTCACTGTGCTCCTTCTCCTTCCGCTGATCAGTTCCCCAAAAATCAGTTCATCCTTCATCCATTGACACCTCCCAGGGCTGGGGACAGTGGGTTGTCCTGTGTGAGGAATCCAGGAGAAGAACGCCTCGGGAGCCCCTGTCCTAAGTCAAGAAGTGGCCACTTACTATTGTCGTCTTTGTCACCAGCACCTTCCTGCTGCTGGTACTCATCAGTGATGGCTATCTTGTGTCAGGCACTAGGACAAGACCTCTTCTGTATGTGTTATCTCATTTCATCCTCACAACACACCTTTGAGAATTAGCCCCATGAGGCTGAAACAGAGAAAGGAGACAGACCCAAGGGTACACGTAAGTGAGTGACAGAAGCTGAACTTGAGCCTAGGACTCTGACCCACAGACCAGCTGAGACCGACTGACCTCCGTTAACTTCACTCAGAAGACATTGTTGACTAGGTCGTGGTTAGTAATAGCTTCAGTTAAAGTAATACATGCTAGTTTTGGTTCAAATATCCCATGTACTTCTTATACTTTGGGAGATACCTGGGTGTAGAGGAGAAGCGAATGCCCTTGTCTTTATCTTTTTACTAGAGTGTTTATAGGATCCTTGTAAAAAGTCATCCAATTTGCTACTCCCACACTTCACCTGAGGCAAAATGGCACATTGAATCCATTTTGCCTCGAGCCTTTTAATCTCTCAGGAGCATCCTAGGGCATCAGGCTTGAGGGGAAAAGTCAGGTGGGGGTGAGTAACTCAACTGCTTCTCCTAGGCCAGCTGCCCTGTCCTTTAGCACTCCCCACGAGCCCTGCCAAGGTTTAGTCAGTGCCCCGGACTCCTCCGTGCTCTCAGAACTGAAGGTGTCGAATACAAAAATAGAACCATGTCGGTCTAGTGTAACTAGGAACTGGGTCATTTGGAGATGAATATATTAGCGGCCATTATCCACCCAAGGGTATCTGCCAGGCAGAAGTAACCCCCTCCCCCAACCTCATGGACACATGCATTTGTAAAACCCAGTAAAAATGACTAAATAGGAAGATGTAATTCAGGAGAGGACGTACAAAAGACAAGCTCAAATTTTTCAGTTAGTATATTCAACAGACAGAAAATTACGTTTCTACAATCAGATGAAACATAGCATAGGAAAAAGGAAAGTATTGCAGAAAGGTATACTATTACTCAACGAATGTGTGCATAGGTGATTAATACAGAGTCTCTTTATTATACTCCTATCTTGGCTTTTGGGAATTGTAAAGTGACCAAAAGATATAGGTGAAATTTGGATTCCCCATCTTCAAAGCCTACACACCCACTTGGAATGAATAGTGTGTATAGCAATATTTAACAGAATTTTTGATGTGAAAATGAAAAAAGACAGGAGCCGCAAACAGAATAGCTTAGATTTATTGGCTATATTTGGTATTATAAGCATATCATATTAACCCTTCAGAGATTTTGGGGGGGTCAGTATTCAGAGTGTGTTACCATACCCCCCGGGCGGTCTTCTCTTCTGATTAGGTTTAAGGATAACCTGGCGAAGCTCTCTCTGATGCCTGTGGGGAAGAGGAATATCTGTAGTTCCATTCATGCTATAAACTTCTTGTCACTGTTGTCTGTCCCACCCTTTTGTGGGCATAGATCGGAGACTAATCTGGCTCTTATGAGACTCTGGGTTATGAATACACACGTGCACACCCACACAAACGCACACACACACTCCCTTCGGAAAGGATATTTTTTTCCAGAATACATCAATAATTAAGGAATTCAGGGAAAGAAGCCTTAAAGAAAATACTTAATGGGTTATGAACAGAGTAGAAATAATCATAATCTATGCATAACATTTTGTCTTCTGATTAAGGGCTATGCATTCTTTTTCAAGTGACAGCTTTTATGTTGATGGATCTATCATTAAATGTCTAAATGTCTTTTCCCCTTATTTCAGTATTTCTTGTACAATGAACTCTCTTATCCCTAATACTTTTGAGTTAGTACTATCTTCTAAAATAGCATTCCATGTGACACATGGCTTATCATTGGAAACCTAGACTTATAATGAGAATTTTATCATTCCTTGAATCATGCTGATAATTAAGAAAGTAGCCTCTTGATGAAACATATTAACATGTTAGCAGAATATAGTCTTGCTTGTGGAATACTGAATGAGTAAATGATTCTGATTCCTTGGGCATGTGAATTCATTTTCTTTTAGATAAGTTTGGTAATGTTACATAAAACATAAGCTCTCATTTTAAAATTATATTCAAGGGATGCCTGGGTGGCTCAGTTGGTTAAGCGGCTGCCTTCAGCTCAGGTCATGATCCGAGCATCCTGGGATCGAGTCCCACATCAGGCTCCTTGCTCTGCAGGGAGCCCGCTTCTCCCTCTGCCTCTGCCTGCCACTCTGCCTGCCTCTACTCTCTCTATCTCTCTGACAAATAAATAAATAAAATCTTAAAAAAATAAAATAAAATTATATTCAGGATTGGGGGCGAGGTAGAGTACCATAGTAGAAAGCACAGACACTGGAGTAAAGCTGTCCTGGGCTGAGATTCTGGCTGATATTCTGATAGTTATTGTCCAGAACAGCCTCTGTGAGCTTCTGTGGATCCAGAAAATGGTACCTCCCTCCCAGGCAGTAGAGAAGAAATCGGTATGTAAACATAGTATTTGATGATTTAACCTGATGATTTGCTATGTTTTAATTATGACATTAAGTAAAAAGTAGTAGAAGAAAGAAAAACAATGCCCTTCGATGTACGTTTCTTTTCTTTGAAAAGAAAAATGATTGCAGAACAATCTAACAATCCGGTTA